AAAAATAGGAGATACCGTACCAAAACAGAAGTTTTTTTGAGAGAAAAAATAAAAAAACTTATAATCTACGAAGAATGGATAATGGAAACCAAGAGGAAAGCGGTAACTTAACTTACCACAGTATATTTCATCTACCCAGGGCGAAGAACCTTGTAAGATCATATTACAAGACACCACAAGATCTTAGAAGATGTCATAAGAGTCTTAGCTCAAGAATCTTATAAGATTCACAAGATTTTTCTTGTAACAAGATTTCGTAAGACATCTTGCAAGACCTTGTGATGATCTTGTATGATTGTGCAAAGAAGTTACAAGATCTTGAAAGATTTCATCAGATCATACAAGATTACGTTTCTGGTTCTGTCCTACAGATCCTCCCTAGACTCTCTGTAAAAAAAGACTTCTTACAAGATCTTATAAGATCTTAAAATTTCTTATAATCTGATCTCATAAGATCTTACGACAAGAAGTTACTAGATTCCACAAGATCATACAGGATCTTGAGATAAAATCTTACAAGGTCTTGCCAAAATATTTTATAGCAAGATTGCATAAGAAATCATCAAGAAGATCTTATAAGATCTTGTAAGACGTCTTTCACTTGGATATCTATAATAGAAACGTATGATTCATCAAGTGGATGGCAAAGATCGTTAAAATTCTACAATAAAGTGGTCGGAAGTCTTTGAAGATTTTTGTTATGCTTAGATCCCCCTATAACTATTATTATCTACAAAAGACAGTTCAAAGTTACATAATCAAAAATAAAAAAGAAATCAACCTTTTTCACTCAGGAGTGGGGGAGTGTTGCTTGTGAGAAAATGCTCTATTATAATATAAATAGCTCTCAAACATCAGGTATATTCTTTCCTTTCTTTCGTCGTTTATTTTATTCAAACTATCTAAAACTAGATTTTACCTTGATCGACCAATTATACAGAACGTTGTTTTTTCATTAATATTAAATTATTCTGAATGAAAGATTTTTCATTCCATCTTTTGATGATAATGTCAACTTTATTTTAGCCATTCACATGTATACATTATTTCAAAATCCTTTTTTGTCACCATAGACATGAAACAGGAAACAGCAAATACTTTCTCTATTAGTGTAACTGAAGAAAAAAAAAAGAACTATCAATTGAACGCATAGTTTGGCGAAGGTGTTTTTTTCTAGTTTCAACGAAATCTATCAGTGGAAGAAAGACCTACGAAACAGGAAGAAGAAGTTTGATAACTCTCTTATAACTTGTTGGACAGCAGTTTGTATAAAAAACAGAAGCGTGTATAAATGAATATAATTTTATTCATTTCATTTTTGTTGATTGATTGTTCACATTGTCACTTATTAGATAAAAAAATGAGATTTTAATGTTTTTTGTTGCATCATAAAATATACCTCTGTTAATAATTAAACGTGAAAGGTTAATAAAATTGAATTTTTTTTTGTTCTTATAATAGGATATGAACAAAAAGAGCATGAGTGCTATAAGCGTTTGTTTATGTGACACTGTTTCTGTGAGCCACACTTTCTCTCACAAAAAATGAAAAAACTTAGCAATAAAATATTTGTTTTATGTTCATTTGTAACCAAATTGTATATAAACACTAAAAATTATTTTTTTTGTAAATAATACTATGAGATCAGTGTAGTGTAGTTATGTAAATATTTCAGGTTAAGAACAAGTGAAATAATGGAATCAGCCAGATTTTAAATTAATAATGATGGAATCATAGGTGTGAAAAAACATTACTCCATAGACGATAGACCTTTATTTGTTTCTTTTCTCTAAAAGCAACAATAGAAGAAAATACAAAATAAGCGAAATATATTGTTTTGACGTTGTTTCCGGTTTTCTTGAATGAATGACAATAAGTTAGTTATATTCATCCCTGCGGAAATATACTTCTCAACGGTATGTAAATATATTGATTTCATTTTAGTTAGAACCATAATTTGATGGTGATATTTTTATATAAGGGTGAGATTTAAAAACAAAATGGTTAGTATTATGTAGAAAGTATGACACTTAAGGATAAGATGGTATAATTACTAATATAACTACTACTTGGATAATTACTTTTTTGTCTTGTTCTTCATCTTTTTATCATCATAGATGGACGAATACAAGTTCTCTCGAATACAAGTATATCAGAACAGTATATTCGAATAGTACTCGAGAGCATACTATTGGAAGAAAAAAAATGATTCCGTCAACGGATGAGGAAGGGCCTCCAACTGTCGGATTGATTTTGAGTTCATTCTTTGGCCACACGAAGACCTCGATGAGAATACAAAAAGCTAAAATAATAGCGTACCCACCGTCTTTCTTTGTTGAGACATCGAATTTTTACTCTTTGCATTACAAAAACTAATGTTGTATCGATTTTTTTTCTTTTTCATCCTCTGTGGGGTGTTGAGCAACCAGAACTTTTTCACAATTAGACCTGAATATTGACTAGCTGTACTAAAAGCGTCAGCGCGCTTGACTCTAGATATCCTGAGCTACCGAATTTTTTGTTCGTATAGGTAGTGAAAGAGGTTTTCACTCATTTATTTTCACATAAACTTGGCTACACACATAAAAGATTTGACAGCTCCACTAATGAATACAATAGCTAACAAAGAAGTGTTCAAGCAGATAGTTTGTTGACACCAACTACAAGTAATGAAGGGGAGAATTATAGTTTTTGCGATGGCATGAACTTTCATCGAGAATAAAACAGGCTTGATGAATGTTTTGAATTGCCAAACCAGGCGCAGCTGATAAGGTCGTAACGTGCTCCTGAAGGAAGAGACTGTGAAAAGGCATGTCTGAACACATTTTTTATCCTTCACAACACGCAGGCACGTGTGTTGTCGTGCCAAGTTTACAAAATAAAAGAGTGAAAGCTCCTTTCACTACCTATACGAACAAAAAATTCGGTAGCTCAGGATATCTAGAGTCAAGCGGGATGAAGCTTTTGGTACAGCTACTCAATACTCAGGTCTATTTTTGTGAAAAGGTTCTCGTTGCTCAACACCCCACAGAGGATGAAAAAGAAAAAAAATCGATACAATTATTAGTTTTTGTTATGTAAAGAGTAAAAATTCGATGTCTCAACAAAGAAAGACGGTGGGTACGCTATTATTTTAGCTTTTTGTATTCTCATCGAGGTCTTCGTGTGGCCAAAGGATGAGCTTAAAATTGAACCGACAGTTAGGGACCTTCCTTTGTCAGTTGTCCCATACATTTACAGTTCATTCATTCAATGTATGCTTATTTATCTCATTTAAGATATTTGCTTAAATATGTCAAAATTACGCAGATCAAATTGACTCAGAATTTGCAGATAGGACAGAAAATTAACTGTACATTAAGCATAGTTTAAGGTTTTTGAAATAGAAGTTGAATATTAAACTTAAAGTGAGCAAAACGTTTGTTTCATTCACACATCTGGCATAGACTAATCCGTTATTAGTAGAGATAACTGTCTGTCTATAAGAATATATTTTGCGTTAATAATTTGCTCGCAGAGAAAGTACGATAAGTCATTAGTAATAATCACACTGAAAATATAAGCAGTAAAGTTGTTTTTTTTTATGAACTAATAAGGAAGTTTCTACTAATATTAGTATTAAATGAATTTTAAAAACGACAACTTGAGAAAAGAAGCATTCGAGCACTCAGTCGAACGTAGAAATATGTAATCTTATTCATACTCGTAATTGATCCTCCGTGAAAGCTGGAATTGGAAATTAAAAAAAATTGCCCGGTAAGGGTAGTGTACCTTTCTAGTCGAGTGTTTCTCAAAAAGACTAACAGAGTACTTGTATTTTCATAGGCAATACTCGATGACTTCAATAGAATACGAGTAACAATTTTACTTGTCCCTCGTTAACCGTCATATATGTGGGCTACTTAAGAAAAAAAAAGAAATTTAACCTATTATAAAATATTTTATTCGCAACTAGAAAAAAGAAATAATATGAATAATGAAGGCAAATATATTTGAATGCCCCAGGTATAAACAAAAAAAAATAGAGTAGCAGAAGATAGAAAAACAAAATGTTTATTAAACTATAATTTTTGAATAATAATATTGTATCTTAATAGAAGACAATTATGTGGTTTCTGATGTGCAACAATTAACAATTGGAGTGTGTGCTGATTGTGTTTACGACAATTAAGAATCATGTATGAGTCTGAGAATATTAAAACCACTGTAAACAATATTGAACAGTACGTTGACAGTTTGTACGAAGACAGTTTGCGATCAAACTTGACACTCATGTATGAACTTTTATAATAAAAATGATTTTCATATAAATAATTTCATATAAGATTTTCAGTTTAGTCTATGGCTGCTGTCAATTTAAAAAAGAATATCTTAACCAAATGAGCTTAAGCGCAAATTTTTACTCTATGAAATATCTACAAAAAGAAAAACTAAAACCAAAAATATGTAATTTTTTTCTGAACCATCCGATAATGACACTTTGTATACAATACAAAAGTATGAAATAAAATGTGACTTTGAAGATATGTTTTGTAGTCATTTTGCATTCAAATCAGAACATCAAACATGAGTCTTATTAACTAAAAAGATTATAATCGGTTCTTTATGTCGTATTCGCTTTGAAAACGTATTGTACAAAATGGAAAAAGATTTTCGGAAATCTTACTTTTTTGCTTTCGTTTTCTTTTTCGAGAGAGAGAGAGAGAGAGGGTAGAAATATACGAAAACAGAAAAGTAGTGTTTGAAAATGAGTTTATAAAAAAAGTTAAAACATAGATAAATTAGTAGGAATTTACTGATAGTTTTTAATGATGGTTGAGTTTAAAGTTTATGTAAAGATGGCTACTGTGTTTGACCTTTCTTTTTACATGCTCTTTTTAAATGCTGTTCTTTACTATTACCTTTTTAGAACTTACGTATGATCACTCATCCTATTTATTAAGGTTGATTATTAGTGATAGAAGGAACAAATAAATCGTACCAGAAGAACGATGAACGATATGAAAACAGGAATAAATGACAATAATGACGTTAAGCAAAATGGATATGATGATAAAAGACATTTTAATGGAGAAAACGAATTTCATCAACAAAACTATGATCAGTTAAAACAGAAAACAAACAATAGTAATGAACAAGAGAATAAAGAACAAGAGCAAAAACATGAAAGAACTCCAGAACGAAAATCACATAAGTTGGAATGGGGTTATTCAATTTTGAATGGTATGTATAAAGTCATAATTAAATAGAGGATCACTATTGCATGGAAAAAAAACATATTTTCTATGTTATTCCATCTGCTCTCCGTAGCTAGTAAAGCATAAATTTAAATGTAAACTGGTAGGTAGAATTTACATTGAATTTACCATGTAAATTCTACCTCTTAATGAATATGAAAAATATTTTAAATCTTTAAATACCACTTGAATGGTAGATATCCACCGGTTGTTACTAGAGCTTCAATTCGACTCTTAATTTAGAGATAGCTGAAAATAGATATCATATTTTGACTAAGTAAGAGTTGCATACTCCTTAGTCCGATGTCATTGTATACACTGTATATATATATATATATATATATCAGTCTAGCGTTTTATGTTTTTCGACGGTGGTCTTGACAACGATCGTCGTTTGTTCATCAGCAGCACCAGTTTTCATCTAAGCTTATGTTATTTGTGTGTCAAAAATAATATTTTAGTGAAACGATGGTATTGCCGAATTGTAGTGGTGCTCTTTCTAGTAATTTTGGATGCACTTCTCATTCTTTTATTCTAAGTAAAAATAGCTTATCTTGTAGAAAATCAAATTCTCTACAAAATAACGTTAAATTTGACTTGAGCAAACATAAGTGAGATATCAAAAATTCGGTTGTAAGGAAAAACAACGAGTTTTCCGCGATCTACAGTATTTTAAAGTTTGATTTTCTCCTAAGCTAATTTGACTTTCAAAAAATTAAAAAATAACAGAAAACCGTCATTTTTGATAAATTTGCCCGAGGGCATTTGAAAGAAATTTTGTATTTCGGTCCTTGTTCAATCTCAGGATTTAAAAAAAACTTGGATTCATGCGTAACTTTGATTGCTCTACACGATGAGCATAGAAAAAATGTAGATCGATTTTTCACTGGATAGACGACTTTCTGATTGGCAGTATGGATCGTCTCTTAAGGACCGACTACATGGTCAAAATTATATCCTGAATTAAAAGCAAAACGATTTCAATCACCAATTCAAATCAATACGGATCAGACAACATTTGATACTGAATTAAAAAACCAACCATTTGTATTTAAATATGACGATGATTGTTGTCAAACATTAGAAAATACGGGACATTCATTTCAAGTATCGGGCAAAGGAAACAGTTGTACGTAGTTGCTCTATCCTATCATGCTTACTAATACATATAACCATGTATATTCATCATTTTTTTAGGTATCACTGGTGGACCAGTCAAAGATGAATATCGATTTTTACAATTTCATATGCACTGGGGTGCAAATGATTTAGAAGGATCAGAGCATGTGGTGAATGGCAGTCGTTATCCAGCTGAAGTAAAAAATCAAATATCATCTCCACTTCTTATATTTATATTCATTTTTTTAATAGCTCCACATTGTCAATTGGAATACGACAAAGTACAGTGTACCTAAAGACGCAGCAGGATCTGAAAACTTTGATGGACTCATGGTATTGGGGGTTTTAGTTAAAGTATGTATAAAGCAATGGTCTAATATTGTATCTAAAAATAGCTATCAAATCTTGTTTGTCTTTGATCAGATTTCATTTAATGATAATCCTGATATGGAAAAATTACTGAAATTGTTCTCAAAAATACCTTATAAAGGTGATAAAACAAACATTGATTCGACGCTCAGCATGAATTCATTGTTACCAAGTGAGTTTTATGCTTTTCTTTAGTTGTTTATCGATAGACGAGCTTGTGGGTGTAAATCAAAGCATGTGAATATGAATAAACCTGGATGGATATTTTTTAATCAGCAGCACAAAGTATTTCAAAGATTTCTTTCCTACGCTAAATCTTAGATCGATCATCATTTGTTCAAAAGAAAATAGAAAAGAGTGTTAAAATTTAGAAACTATACTTTTAAGTTAGACTCTGAAAAGGATTGGATTTCTATACTTTTCAACTTTAAATGCGATAAAAAGTACAAAAAGAAAAGACGATTGCGTGTTTACTTTGATTTAAAATACATTTCTGATATTTCTAAGTCACGATTGAAAAAAATTTCATTTTCATTACAAAAAAAAAGGATATTTTGATTTCCGAAACTTATTTTGCCAACACCATCTGATATCTTTAATAGTTCAAATGTAAAAGCATGATGAACTGTTAGTATGATCAATATCAAATCCTCAATAAAATTGTCATTGACATAGATAATTTGTTTAATATCTCTCAACTCATTTTACTTTTTTCTTACAGAAGATATATCCTCATACTATACATATAATGGTTCATTGACGGTTCCGATGTGTGACGAATCTGTTAAATGGATTGTATTCAAAGAAAAAATATTTATGTCAAGACGACAGGTATCATATCTGTTTCTAAATTAAACATCTTTTTATATTTTTACTAATACTTTTTTTAGCTTGATCAACTTCGTCGTTTGAAACATTGTTGTAAATCTGATGCACATGATCATTCAAATATCTATCTAAATTATCGTCCGGTAATGCCTTTAAATAATCGAACAGTCTATCGATCATTTCCATAATCGAACTTAAACTCTTCCATCTTAACATTAGAACAGTTTTATTTTCTATACATTCAATAATATATTTTCATTAAAAATCAATATCACGAACTAAATAATATTATGAAAATTTTATTTGTACATCATTTTTGTTTTCAACTATGCTCTTATGTTTGATTTTAATAACCTTAGTGCCTAGTTTTACCAGTGATCTCATAAAATATTTATAATTCACATCAACTATTTCCTCTACCTTTATTATTTTTTTCTAGCTTTATATAATGTTTTATTTGTATTTTTTAATAGATTTTTTTTTTCTATTATCTTGTAGTTATTCTTTGAAGAAAAAAAAATCAATAAAATCTTTTTATCAGTCAAGTATTCATGAATAGCCGATGATATTTTAGGTTTAAAAGTGTATGCAATAGATTTTAATATGCAATAGATATCTTTAATTAATAGACTTCTCTATTTAAGAATAAAACCATATTGTTTTTACAAGAAAGAGAAAATATTAAACATAGATCATATTAGTGAAAAGATGATAGCAAAGACAAATAATATTTCAAAAATTTGATTAGATACTTCCGTATTGAGAAGAAGAAGAATGAAAACAATGTTCGATAAAATTACAATATATCATAGCTAATAAATTGTAGAAAAGCCACTGAGAAAGATGTCCTAGTTCATTTAAAGTTTAAAAAAAAGAAGAAAATGATCAATAAGAAATAATAGATTCTTGTTAGAGTAGTATTTTAATACAGAACTAAATGTAAACAAATCGTAACAATAGTGCAATACATAACTGAACAATAATCCAAGACTATTTACTCATCTTTTTTGTTTTTTTGATACATTTGATTTCGAACGATAAAACAAAATTAATAACGATTACCGAACAATTGTCAACAATAGTAGAGTGCGTTGTCTAACACTATTGTCTATCTGCGTTTAATCATGTACAATTTCTTTTTCTTCTTCTTTTTTTCTTCTTCTCTGATTAATAACGAAAAACAACTGTTTTTAACACTTGTCGTTTGAAAACAAACGATAGATCGATGATCATGTGTGATTTTGAATCTTTTTTATTTCATAAAATAAATCATGTTTCAGAAAATAGAATAGATAAAATATCAACGAATAATATGGAAATAATAAATTTTGATTTTCCTCCAGCTCCAACAATCGAAGAAGAAAATGAATTAAATTCAAAATTTAACAATTTAACAATTATTCTTAATGATCCATATGATAATAATAGTGATTTAACAGAAATATTTCCATCACCACCGTTACCATCACCACCTGTTATCCTTTCGAAAGAACTAACAAAATTATACAATAGTAAAACACTTTTACCATTAAGAATTAGATCAAACAAATATAATCAAAATCGTACATGTCAAAAACGATCTCGTACATCCTCCACCTATCGTATTAATAATTACAAGACTAAATTATCAAATGAATCATCATATGTAAATATCATAGGTAATAATAATAATAATAATAATAATAATAATAATATTACATCAAGTATAAATCGAAATAGCGATGTAACATATGCAACATTAATGAATGTTAGTAGTAATATTGTATCAAAAGTATTTGATAATACATCACCATTTGGACAAGATTTATCCGAGCATGCAACATATCAAGAACTTGAACATTGTTTTCTTAAAAATGTTAATTTTTCTGATTCAAATATTGAACAATTGAACAATTTATCCGATTCATTAATAAATCAATCTCAATTAAACAATGATCAATTATTAAGTATTAGTCATTCACAAAATTTTCTATATCAAAATACTGATGATATGATGAACGATGATCATAATAAACCATCTACAAAACCTCATTATGAAAATAACATTAACATATGTCCTCAAAAATATGAAAACATTGTATTTTTAAAACAAAGAAATGATGTTAGTTGTATGTCAACATCTGAATCACATAAAAAAATCCATTCTTCACAAAATGACACATATTCTGATAAATTTTATCCACCTCTATTATCTACGCAAAAAGATCATCAAAACGTTCCTCTACTTTCATCACTTCTAGATCCTACGCCAATTCCAATAGAATTGACTAAATCGATGTATGTAAATGTACCATCTATTACTGATAATATAAACGATATAGAAGCTCCAAATTTACCATCTCGTAAATCGAAAATATCTTGTTTTAAAACTATGGTAGAACAAAATTCAAATGAACAACAATATTCTGTACCAATAAGTGAAGTAAATTCTTTGATCGATGGGACCGAAGAGGAAAAGAAGGAGATCGTCACATTAATTGATAATCTTCTTGAAAACAGTATGGTACACAACACAATGAATACGTTATCCAATAATGAAGATTTAAATATTATGCAAGAAGTAACCGTAAATGGTTCAGCGCAGCAATTATGTACAGTGACGTTCAACCGTTTTCAAGATCAAGTAAGTAATTAATGTAAATGTGGTCAGAGTATGAGTTAATTTGCCAGTCTATTCGATAATAACATTTAATATAAAGTGGTTAAAACTGATTGACTGTATGTACGTACGGTTAAATAATTGTAATTGCTCTTTTATACATGATCAATAGTTGTTCAAGGATATATAACGTTTAAATACCAATGAAGTTACATTAACAATGTTTTCACATTGTTTTACAAAATAACAAGTGCAAATAATCCTTGAAACAAAAAAAAAAAAGAAAAAAAAGACAGTTCATATAATTTAATACTATTGTTCCCACTCTCGTACTTTATACTCTTAAATTTTTATTTTAAATTAGATACGATTTGTGAAGAGTTTAGTATTTTCTTGTACATATGTGTTTTCTCAGTGCTGGTTTAACTTTAAAACACATTTCTTTTTTATGCTATAAGGAGGAGAAAATTGATGACAATATGGCTCCTAACTATGCTGATAAAAGTGTGTTATATCGGACAAAGCTGAAAACTAGTCCAGAACGTGATGATAAATCGCCAGAGACAATTATTAACTCAATCGTACCTATGAACGATAATACGTGTCGTTTACCATTACAATATCGTCGGAAAAATCAAAATACAACTAATCGTCGTCGTCGTATGCAAGGTATGAGAGGAAATATTTTAAGAGCAGCTGGAAAACGTCATTCGAAATTATCGATTCGAGGAGAACAATCATCGATCAGACAAAGAAGTACCGTGAGAGGAGCATTTAATCTTAATAATATTCAACAGTCACAAAATACAACATGCTCAGTTATTAATCCTAGTCAGTCAACACTACAACCACGTTCAGGACAATCGAAACGTCAAACGAATAGAATACGTCACATGAAGAATAACAATTATACAGAAGATAATACAGAAAACTTAGAACGAGATGTTGATCATACGTATAATGAAATAAAACATCCTGCAATACAAAATTTAGATGATCCAAATCCAATCTCATCAACGAATATGAATAATCGTTCATTGGGTGTATTGGGAAGAGCAATGCAGTTTAATGGTGCATTACGTGATCGTGTGTTTTCCTGGTATCGTGGCAATGGAAATGGTGATGAACCAAATGGGTTAGATAATAATTCAAAACAAAATACTCTTCAACATACAAATGAAAATGAAAATCAAATTTTATCGCCATTAGTAACGAAGAAATTCAATAAATGTCGACTTCGACCTAGTACGCCCAGTAATTTATCATGCGCAAAAGAGCAAGTAAGTCAATGCTTATCTCATATTATCCTACGAAGAGTTTCAGTTTAAAGAACACTATGTTTTATAATCATTCCGTTTGTAGCAGAAACATATGTTCAGCCTGTGCCTCTTTGTATTAGCAGTCGAAATTAATCTAAATTGAATATAAACTAGGAGATTTTAACGCTTCAGTACTTGCGTCCGATCAAATGACGATATCTGTTTTATTTTCAGAATGATGGAGACGATGAACAATTTTATACTCATGATCATTTTATACTTCGACGACGTCCAAATGGATCTGCATCCACAATGAGTGCTGATTTACAAGATGAAAATGAATCTGTTCGTCAACCATCCACACAATTACAACGTCCATATTCAAAACAAAAAGTATCACCTGTCACTCAAAAACGTAAACCATCACCATTTCAAAATGTTTTAACACGTAGTCATCAACTTCTATCCAATCAACGAACAAATATCGCATTGAGTAAAATATCTTCATTATCGAGTAAATCATACGGAAATTTTCATCAGTATCGTAAAAAGGCACGTTCATCTCACTTACAGTTAACATTAGATAAAAATGATGTTGATTTTATTCATGGTATATTGAACAAAACAAAAGATCATAATCAAGCATGGAATCGTGTTCGTGCATTAAAAGAAGCTTATATTCGAGCAAGTACAAAAACAAAAACATTACCAAAAAAGAAAAAATCAAAAGTAATTCAAAATTCGATAACTACAAAAGTGAAACATGAATTAGAAAAATATGATGAATTACCAAGTACACGTACACGTAATCATACAAACAAAAGTTGTTATAATTCAGAGGATAATATTGATAGTTATGAATTTGATGAAGAAGAAGAGAAGAATTGGATGCAATCACACCGACGTTCTGTAGTACCATCAACAGTCAGTAATATAAAACCTAAACTAATAAATCTTGTGACATTTTTAAAACGAAAAGCCGAAATAAATGTTAAAAATATACAAAAAAATTTTACAGAAATGAAGCATAAAATGCAGCAAGAAAATTGCCATCGATTAGAATTACAGCAACAAAAGAGACATCGATTACAAGATGTAACTTATCCACGAGAACATCATCCATTAGGACAAATGATCACGCTAGGTGGAAGAGAAACAGAAGAAACAAATTGTGAAAATAATGTATCAACTAAAGTAAGATAAAAGATGATGAGAACACAATTCTTTGCACAGATAATTTGCCTTAAACTTAATTTGTTTTTATGAATAATAAGTCAAGTTTGTTGTAAAATTATATTCAAAAAGAATATAGATCATTGACTGAGTGACAAGATATACAAGTTTAATTTCTTTCTAGGATAAACATTTACTGTCTCGTATGCGTAATCATAGACTAAGACAAGATCGTCTTCGATTGAATGTTAAAGATGAACCAACTATAATTGTACGCAAGCCATCTAATACTTTAAGTCAGCGGCCTGTAACATCGCCAAAAAATATGAAAGAATCCCCCAGACATTATCCTAAAACAGCACACTCTCATCATAGCAGTTCAAAGATCACTGATCAACAAATTCGACAATCGGCTAATAAAATGTTTGATCCAACTACTACTCACATGCCAACTAATTTACAAAGACACTCCAGCTCAATAGTTGTACAAAATCGACCAACAAAAAACCAGACAATCGTGCGACGTGCTTCATTAAAACAATCATCATCAAAAGAGCATAAATCAACAATTAACACGGCAGCAATGATAACAAATAAAACTGGTAATGAAAAGAAATATCGAATAATTAATACTAATACTAATACCAATAACGATGACATTCGTCGAAAACGTCATTCAACAAAACTAACTGATATGCAAACAAATCGACAGGGTGTTTCTTGTTAACTGTCATACTTTGCTTTTATACACGTTTTCCATGATCTTTTTGTAATCTAAATAAATCTTATATAAGATTTATTTGCTGCGTGAATAATACTATCATTTTCAAAATATAATGTTCCTGACTATTTTTGAATAACTTAATAATGAAAGGTGATAAAAACTTGCGGTTTTTACCATTCGATAACCAAGACTTTAAATCATTTTTTTTTATAGTAAAACGAGTTTTAAAAAATTCTGAAGAATCGGTTTGTTAGTGGATCTCTGAAAAACCGTTTCGTAAATGGAAAAGTCATGGTAGTAATATGTTTTTGTTTTCCCATGAGCGGATAGTCTAAAGTGTCCTGTTGAAAACGGGAGTCGAGCGAAACCTTGTCTCTCAGCAATTCCGACGTGATATGGGATTTCCAAGAAGTCCCAGGATCCACAACCGATATCTTGAAGTAATCTTGAAAGCACATGGGGTATGTGTAATTGATCATCGTGAATCTGGTGGGAACGTTCATTTTCTAAGAAAAATCCATAAATCCGATGAAAATCGAGTTTTATGAAAAGTTTCAAGGCTATTTTTCACATAATATTAACAAATTCACATCTCACTCTAAAAGCATCAGAACAAGTTAGAAATTTACCGGTTTTATTCTTTCAGTTAAAGACTTGGAGGTTATTCTACATTCTATTCATAGCAAATTTACAAAAGAAAGTCAGAAAACCTTATAACTCTCAGAAAAGGATTTCTAAGAGATTATTAAACAAAAAAATTGTTTCTCAATTTTTACGATCGCATAACCACATTTAACGGACAAAATTAACTATATTCTGAAGTTTCCTAGAAAATCAGTTATTGAGAATTTTTTAAAACTCTTTTTGCTATGAAAAAATGGTTTAAAGTCTCGGCTATTGAATAATAAAAACCACAAGGTTCTATCACCTTTCGTTATTGAGTTATTCAAAAAATAGACAGCGGCCTTATATTTTAAAATCAAAAGTAATTTTCATTATTAGATAAGTTATGCATGTAGAAAATGGAATTTATAATTTCGACAAAGGAGAAAAATGTTCAAAAAATATGTGGCATTTTTGTTAGATGTAAAGGAAACATCATATAACATTTTCATAAGAATTATTAGCGAGGTAGAAAGAATAAAACAAATTACAAAAAGTTTGAATACATTATATATGTTCAACAAGGATTTTGCTTAAACTAACAATATTTCATCAAAAAAAACAATTTTGCTTAAAAAACAACAACATTTCTTTGAATTTAGAACACCAAACTTATTTAATATGATAATATATTATGTTATCATCGAACTATTTTTCAACAAAAACTATCGTTCATTGACCATGATACAATCGAAATCGCTTTGAATACCATAAACCATATTTATCTCTCTATAGAAAACCCTGGTAAATTATTTATTTTCTATAGTCTAGACGCAGTTTTATAGCTCTTGTAAATATGGTATTTTTGGAGAAAACTTACATGTTATACTTTAGAAAATAAAATTCCTTAAGGTATGTTGTATGCATAAAATATGCACATCAAATATTATGTTTCGTTTGTTAGCTAAAAGAAAAGATCAACGCTCTTTTTTATAATGAATTATTTATTGTTCAAGAATAATAATAAGTTTATATGTTTAAAAGAAAAAAGAATTTCATATACAAAATAACTTTAAATACAATTCGGCGGAAAAAAAAATAAATGAGTATGAAATTTGATTCAACATTCAGAAAAAATGAAATCAGATAGAATAACAGTAAAAAAGAAATATATAAATTTATATTTAATGATGTATACTTTAAATGTGTTTGCTTTTTTTAACAAAAACATATGTTGCTATACCAATCAGAAGAACAATAGAGACGCTACTGTGATGAGACGAAAAAGATAAAAAAAAAGAGTATAATTTTCTTTTTTTTACTTTTCTTCCTAAGAGAATAATAAAGAACATTATTTGTATTTTAAACAGAAAAGAGAAGAAAGTATTAAAATATTAGTGACAACTTTCTGATAAAAAGTTGATATAGTTCAGTAAGTAAACAATCAGTTTAATAAAAGAAAATTTTCACTTGTCGTCTCTATGAAAATAAAATACATATAGGTTAGGCTTCTGTAAACAGACACATAGCAACAGTTTTTTTAACATATGCAGTTAAAAAACATCAGTTTTCATTCATTGTACTTTTTCCATAAAACAAATCATTTTTTTTTTAAATAAAGGAGAGGTATGTGTGTTGTAGCAAAACAAATGCCCGAAGCAAACTGATAAAATATTCACGATTATTTAAAATATAAATAATATCGAGGACAGCTCTCGAACAGAAGACATTCTTAACAGTTATTTTGGATAAGAGACGATCCGACTATCGCAGAACTGTACTCCATTGTCCATCTCAGAATTTCTTTTAGTTTTTATAGGGAAAGAAAATTTTGCGAATAAGGCACGCCAAATAGTTGAAATATCCGTGAGATATTGGGTTTTCCACTAAAAGCTTCGCAAAATCGACAAGCTGTCAACCTGAAAAATCATAAGTTAAGATGGAGTATGTGTAAAAGTATCTCTAAAAGAGATCCGCTTTGAACCCAATTTGACCCGATTCAACTCTAATCAGGTCAAGGTCGGGTTATGTTTTCCTGACCCTTTGTAGACCATAAGAAAAAATTTCAAAAAACATATATTCAATTTATATCAAATTATATGTGGTGCAAGGATTGAAATAGGGCTTTTAGACAAGTTATTACGGTTTAATAACTGTAGTGGTATGATTTGTTTGATAATGATGCAAACACTTACATCTAACTTGCTATCAATACCCTTTTTGAATTTTTTCATCGTTGTCTATCGGTAAATATTTCAAATTCAAAATCTAAACAACTGCATTTGGAACTCTTAGAGATTTTCAGTTTTATCAGAATCAAGAATATATTTAAAAAATAGCGTTGACAGAAAGTTGCGTCTGTGTTTGACCTATCAAACCAGAATTATATAATCAAACAAATTATTAGCTTCCTATGCAGACGAGAAAAATCGTTCGAGAGATGCGGAGAGTATTCTAAAACGGGTCCTCGCAGAAGGCTCGATCCCTCGAAAAATGAGACTCCAGATCCTCGATATAAGCGTTCGAGGAGTTATCAATTTCAGTCCATGGGTTTCAGATAGGTAGCAAGTGTATGCATCAGTTTTTAACTGGTGTCGGGGCATCCGGGAGAATTGCTATACATCAGTTATCACGATTCGCTCAGAGATGTTTCACAGCTCTGAGTGAATGTTTCACAGCTGAGATGTTTCACAGCTCTGAGTAAATCGTGATAACTGATGTATAGCAATTCTCCCGGATGCCCCGACACCAGTTAAAAACTGGTGCATACCTAGTAGCAAGTCCTCGAGCAACATTCCGAACTGTCGAACAGAGATGCTCGGGACTTCCGAACACTCGTCGCCCCATTTCGTCTGCTTGGGTTCCGAACATCTCTGTTCGACGGCTCGGAAGTTTCCTCGACGGCTCCCTACCTATCTAAAACCCTAGGGCTTGAAATCGATAACCGCTCGTACGCTTTTATTGAGGATCTGAGTTCCCATTTTCCTAGGGATCGAGCCCCCGACCAGGGCCTATCAAAAGCGTATTTTCTAATATTCGAAATACCCCTCGGACAAGTGGTTGGGTTTCGCTGGTCAATTCAGAAACTATGTTAAGAGACACTAGTGCCAAAACTCGTTTAAAGACGTTTTAAAAACAAAAAATAGCATCTGTATGTTAGAAACTGATGTAGATTTTTAAAGAGGATACTTCAGGCTACTCAGTCAAAGTATATCAGAAACAATTTTGATTCTTTTTTGTATTTTTTTGTCAACTTAATTCTTTATTGTTCAAAATGTTTATTTTTATGCCTGCTCGTTTGTCTGAATTCACTATTTTTTTTTTCTTAGTTTGTGTTATTCTTCACAACATGCAGTTTGATGCGGTGATCACGAGTGGCATAGTTTATTTCCTTTTTTACTGAGAGATGTTTCCTGAATGAGAAAACTGAATTCCATATGCAGACGGAAAAGATTTAGCTTGAGTATTTTGCAGATAAATTTGAAGAAAATGTTTTTATGAGAATTATCTAGTAACTAATTTCAGATATATTTGCTCAGGCCCAGATAGTTTCTCAGATATGAACAGATCTTTGACGTATCTATTTGTCATTTTAGTAGATTAGATCACTGATTCTGAAGATCAGTAGAAGAAACGTGGCAATTTTGCATGTTTAAATGTCGTGTATACAACTGTAAAAGTTATTGAGTATTCTGAATGAAAAAGTGGCGTACATTTATAAACTTACTATTTATCTGACAAGTAATTTTGAATATGTTTTATATTAACATCATTTGGTGTAGAAAAATATGAATAACCTGGCCAAGGATAAATCCATTCATTTTTATTTTTACAGGGATGAAGAGCATGCAAAATTTTAGACATTTTCCGTCTACAACCATGTCGAACTTAGGATTTCTTTTCGAAGTAAATCACTGAAAATGAAGCTGGCACTTCAACACTTACTGTGCATTTTTACATCTTTTCTAGTACAAAGAATACCGCATATCTCACGAGGGAACCTCTCGAGATGATAAAACGCTTTTTGATCGAAATCTAGTGGGTTATAGGTTATCGACCATGCTGATTTCGAATATGATTATGGGAACTGCCCTTAACCGTATGAAGATCCGGTTTTCTAGAAAACCAGTTTTTCAGAAACTCTAAAAGGTAACCAAAACCTTTCTTAAGGAAACATAGTTGTAGTCCGCCAATTTCTGATTAAAATGAGACATCTCCCAGCTCTACACGACCTTTCTTTGCAAAGTTATAGAATTGACAAGAAAAGCCCTAAATTAATTTCTTCTTTTTTCTGTAGCTCTGAGCATTTAGGGCTTTTCTTGTAAATTCTATAACTTTGCAAGGAAAGATCGTGTAGAGCTGGGAGATGTCTCCTTTTGATCAGAAATTGGCGGACTACAACTAGGTTTCTTAAGAAAGGTTTTGGTTATTTTTTAGAGTTTCTGAAAAACTATTTTTCCAGAAAATCGTATCTTCGAACAACCATGGGCAGTTTCCATAATCATATTCGAAATCAGCATGGTTGATAACCTATAACCTACTAGATTTCGATCAAAAAGCGTTTTATCACCTCGAGAGATTCCCTCGTCAGTAATTAGCCAGGCCTGAGCAAAGATATTTAAACTTAGTCACTAGATAATATTTATGAGTAATTTGTAAGACAAAATTTTCTTTAAATTCATCTGCAAAGGTAGGCAAGCTAGACCTTTTTCGTTCTTATATGTTTATTTGAAATAGAAGGGTTCTTTGAAATCGAGTAGAAAATGACGCGCTATTTGCGCATTTAATGCAAATTAATGCGCCAATTAATGCCCAAATCAGCTGCTGTTCCTACTTACCAATTATTTCGAAACATTTACTCCCATTCTGGAAAGCTCTTGAGCGGAAATCCTTTTCCCAAACTTTTGTTGAATTTTCAGAAACTTCTCACGCTCCAGTGCTTTTAGTACTTTCCCACGCCTTGAGAAATAATATCCCTTTTAATTCTGGAATACGTTATTTTAGCGATCTGTTAGCCAAAAATACTGATTTCGGAACTGTTATATGTGTTTCTACTCTTCAAAACAGAAAAACTATTGTAAATAGTAACTATTCTACTATACATGTTTATTTCAGATAAATACTAATAACTGTATTCTGTTTCCTTTTCAGACTACATTGTATCGCTCTTTTTTTTACGCGTTTTAATGGCCGAAAGACGTTTTACAATTCAATCTGATCCACGTGGCATACTTACTGGAGATACTACTAATCCATTAATTACTAGGGATGATACTCAAACGAAGAAGACTGGAACAGCTGGTGGACTACAGATGCCTGGTACAGGCACAACACAAGGAACAGTTGCCGGTTCTGCTGTCGGTACAATATCTGATTCTCAACAACAACCACAGCTACGTCGTCAATCTGTCTTTCGTCGTTTATCAATGTCTATGGGTAGTAGAAAATCAAGTATGAATTTGTTACCAACAACCATTCGTCCAAACACATTTCGTATGGAACCCGAAAATGAATATCGTTTTCGTCCGTATCGTGTACAACCGAAAGTAATGGAAATATTAATTGAGCAATTGAAAGATAAATTCTATAATCCACAAACTGTCACTGAACTTGTCAAAGATGTATCACGTAACGTTCACATGTTAATGAAAAATTTTCCTATTCCACGATATAAAATAATCGTTCAAACAGTTATTGGACAGAAGTATGGACAATTAATCCGTGTTGCAAGTCGATGTTTATGGGATGTGAAAACTGACAACATGATATCTGTTAATTATGAAACAAAAGATATGATTGCTATTGTTACAGTGTACGCAATTTATTTTGAATAAATAACGACGGTAAATTAAGATTAACATCAAATTTTGTTAATCTTGTTTTTGAAACGGCAATAACTAAACTATCAAACACAAATAACAAATAAAACGATATTAATTAATATTATCTACTATTCGTTTCATATTTTACCATCAGTGTTAAAAACATATTTACTGTGGAACTTTACGATCTACCATCATCGCTAACTGTCTTTTCGATTCTTCATAATAAACTGAGTTCGTTTCAATTGTTAAATGTTCTCTACTTAAGTCGGCCGAGTGAAACGATAGGAGACTTACTACTTTTCACTTCGGAATTGCTTGGCAAAATTCTTCTTCCTTTCCTTCTACAATGTGTTTTCTCTTTCGAGTCAACCACTCGTTCTCGGTTATCTCTGACTGCACACAGATTTGTGGGAAAAGATAATTTGAAAGTAGATCAGCTCTGGATGAACATTTGAAGTTAGTTTTTCGATATTTGCTTTAGTTATCCTATAATTAGTACCACAAAATCAGTATATTTTGTAGACAACTCTGCTGTTTTGTCTTTGAGATAATTAATCGTCACGTAATTCACTTCATAGTGAACACATACTAATTTGATATAACAAAAGCTATAGCAGAATGTATGATAGGATAATGAATCAGCCGATATGGCAATATGCCGTAGAGATAAAACCAGCTCAATAAATTTCGAAACATGTTTTTGCTATTATAGGAGAAAACACTAGGTTCGATTTGCTTTTTACATTTCTCACGGTATCTTCCCGAATGTCCTATTCGTGTTGAACTTTCTTTATCTGGAAAAAGATCAAACTGTTACGACTTTCTGGATGTTCTAATTTTGTATGTTTCCCGTTCCACTCAGTCGACTTTCCATTCTTCTTGCAAGGCAGTTGGCTCTCTTGTCTTCTTCTTTTCACACACTTTTCTTGCTCGAGTCAGTCACTCGTTCTCAGCTATTCCTAATCGTAGAGATTTAGGACAAAGACCAATAGAAAGGCTAAGAGCTTTAGATGACATATCTGAAATTAGTTTTTCGATACATCTTTTAATTAGCGTACCATATGAGCCCCAAAACCTGAACATATTTGCAAGGACTCTACCGTTTTCCCTATGCGATAATTAACGGTCAGGTGTAGAGATCTGCACGGGCTGCCCGTGCAGATCTCTACACATGACACTTCATATACATTCAGTATGAGCAGTGTGCAGTAACTGATTAAGTAATCACATGCTACGTATCAGTCTATACTTCTACATAGTCTCATGCATTTATAGGCTGAAATATTACTACCGATAGAATGCATCATACGTTTACTACTAGAGGATTGCAGTGTTCTAACCTTACGTAAGGGATTCAAACGGTGTCTAAAGTATTTCTAAGCAACGTTTCACTTGGTCGAATTTCCAATCTGTTCGCAAGATAGTTGGCATCTAGTCTTAGAATGTATTCTAAATCGTATATCATTCGATAACTTATGTATTTTTGTTTAGTATGAATTGAAAAATAACTGGTAAAAAATGGCGATAGTAATGATAATTTAGGAATAAGTTAATTCTTTTATCTTAGATTATGTAAATTTTGTTAAAACGAACTTTGTTTTGATTTTGATTGACAGTGATCGAACGTAAAGGTTCAATTTATTCAAATACTTTTCATTTTTGAGAAGAATGTTCACTTCAATTGATTTCCATAATAATATGAATAAGTTTTGATATTTCGATTTTTTACCGAAATATCGCTCATTCTTCATATCGCTCATGAGATAGTGAATAGAATTCTTCATAACCGGCATAGATCTCACGGGCAAAATTTTTTGTTTAAAACTGGGATTTGTTTTCGCAAAACAAGGATCAGTTATGAAAACATGCGTAAACTACTATGAAGTCCAAGGCTAGTTATCTGTTAGATGCCCGTTCTATCAAGCATGCACTGAACCTTTCTTACACTATTTCAGATTATTAATTAATTTTTCAACAGCTGGAATGAGTACGATGTGTAAACATGTATAATTTTCTGACGAAGCTCACGAGGGAACCTCTCGAAGTTATAAATCGCCTTTTGATCGAAATATAGTGGGTTATAGGTTATCGACCATGCTGATTCCGAATATGATTATGGACGCTGCCCATGGTCGTTCGAAGATACGGTTTTCTGGAAAACCAGTTTTTCAGAAACTCTAAAAAATAACCAAAACCTTTCTTAAGGAACCTAGTTGTAGTCCGCCAATTTCTGATCAAAATGAGACATCTCCCAGCTCTACACGATCTTTCTTTGCAAAGTTATAGAATTTACAAGAAAAGCCCTATATGCTCAGAGCTACAGAAAAAAGAAGAAATTAATTTAGGGAGTTTCTGAAAAACTGGTTTTCCAGAAAACCGGATCTTCATACGGTTAAGGGCAGTTCCCATAATCATATTCGGAATCAGCATAGTCGATAACCTATAACCCACTAGATTTCGATCAAAAAAGTGATTTATAATCTCGAGAGGTTCCCTCATCAGATGTGAGTGTCTGTAAGTTTCTTAAAGATTGCTTCGTTTACGTGTTCAAGTAATACAGATATAAACCTATAAAAGTTTCGTAAAATTCCTTTTTTGTTAATGGGATATAATCTTGCTTCATTTTTTCATGAATCTTATAAGACTAAAACATTTCAATCCAACGTAGTTACATTTCTGTTAGTATATTCAGTCGACCGAAATTCGAAAAATTTAAAATCAAAGTTTAATCCAACAAGAGAAATTTGCATTCGTAGTAACATGATCTTAAGCTTAGATTTCAAGGGATGAAAACAGGATTATTTTTGTTTTTAATTACCAACGTTAAATACATTTGTATTGTATATCATGTCCTGATAAATTTTGAGCTATGATTCTACTTTGAACTATTCTTTTTAGTAACTGATGAATAACAGATACAATATCGCTGAAGTGCGGCTTAGACAAGCGTAACAACCGTAACATTTTTTTACTTCTAAAATCACAGAAACTCTGCGTTCCTCTACATACGAAAATACAAAAATTTTATAATTTGTGATTATATTATTATGTTTATATTTTGTATATATACATTTCTAAAAAAATTCGAGTTTTCGTCCTTTCCCTTCCTTCTAAAATTTTCAAACAGCTTTTTTCTGATTTAGCATCAAAAACTGAGTCTAGAAACAACGCTTCGGGTCTGTTTAAATAGTGGGCATTAACGAATTCGGGCCCCCGCCGGTAGTGAGATGTTCCTGTACTAGTTAGCACAAAAAAGTTAATCATCGCTTTTTTTTACTGAGAAAAGCAACGTAGATTCCAATGGACAAATTTTCAGAATCTCCAGAGGATTTCCAGAAAACGTTTTCCTTAAAAAACGAAATTTTACGGTTTCTCTAGCAATTATGGTGAACTATTTTACAGATTGATCTACTTTTCAGTTTTCAAAGTTTGAATTCATTAATTGAACATTTTTTCATCTCAATCCATGACAGCAGCAACTTCATTTGAATCTTGTATAACATCCTCCTTCGATCACATTCAAAAATTTGGCCATTGGAATTTACGTTGCTTTTTACCTATAGTTGTGTTTTAAAACTAAATCTAAATAAGAATTTCTTGCTTTGCCAAAAAATAACTTGTTCATTTTCTCAGAAAGGAAGTTAAAAATAACCGATGCTTAACTTTCATAACGATTCAACTCTGATTAATTTTATAACCTTGAGTATTCGGTTGCTAATAACATTCTCGCTTAGTTTATATATTTATGATGAATACTAGGAGAGGGAGGGTATTCATCCCTCCCCTCCGGGTCAGAAAGCTATTTAAGCCCAGGTAGGTCTGATCTGAACCAAACTTTCAGAGAATGTTGACCATATCAGAGTGTGGTAACGAAATTTTTTTTAACGCCACTTGCAACTATTCGTGGGAGGGCACCACAACAAGGGCCAAAAATAGGCATCTACCACGTGAAAGAAGTTTCATTCCAGGTAAATGATAGAGAGTTCGGGCTGTTTTTGTTTTGCAGTAAACACCTATGGCTAGGAGTTGACAGAGCCCAATTTTTGAATTTCTCATTTACTGATTTCTGCTGCTTAATGGAACTTTAAATTCCGAAAAATCCTTGAAGGTTTCTTAGAAATCCTCATTTCTATAAAAGATAGAAGTATAATTTAAAAATCGGACTCTGTCAACTCCTACCTATAGGTGTTATCTACAAATCTAAAAAAGGATTTCTTTCTCCGATGTACCGTTACCGAGAATTCCTGCACGTGGCGAAAGCCCTGAAGCTAAAAAGCAGTCTTAGGAAAAACTTCAAAATAAGTTTTGATTCTTTTAAATGCGTTTTACTTAAAAACTCCCTGCGCGTTAAATAATTTGTTGATATTTTGCTAGGTTATCGGCCATAGCGGATCTAATGAATATGTGCGCGGACATGGGTGCGCTTATGCAATACAAGTGCAAAAAAGCCATTGTTTTTTGCTATAGGGTTTCTGGAAAACTCGCTCAAAAGCGCAGACCTATCCTATCAACACAAAAATTATGCCATTAGAAAGTAGACACTGTGGGCTATTCAGCCATGTGCTTTTCTCAAAGTCGATATTTTGGACGAAAAAATCGGCATTTCTGACCCACGGGGAGAGGGGGGCTTAAAAAGCCATTGGATTTTGAGTAACTATATAACTTCAACTTCTCTCTTCTATGGAGTTACGGAGAGAAGTTTTACAAAATACCAGAAATTACAAACTTTTGACAGTGTTTATCAGCAAAAAAGTACAGATTTTGTATTTTATTATACAAAAACAAGTTAACAAAATAACAAAATAATAGAAATAAATGGAAATAAGTAAGATCACTGGGAAGATCGTAATTTAATCCGACGAGTCATTTATTGAGTTATCTGTAGTTTGTTCTTTTGGAACTTGATATGTTGTTGGAATTTCTGAATCTAGAGTTGTTGGAATTTCTAATTCTTTTTCGCTTCGCGTAAGTAAATTGTCTGGTCCAATCATTGTTTCATATAATTTAACACCAACTAATAGACAGCATAAAACAATGGGTCCAATTAATGCACCTTCAAGACCACGATAATATACGCCACCAGCTATTGATAACGCTGTCAAATACTAAGAAAATAAAAAAATTAAGTTGAATTAATCAAGAGTATAATCAATATAAAAAATAAATAAAATTACACACTCATCTATTCTACATTTATATTTCTTTTTAATTCTCGTATATTATTTCAAATTCAACATTTGCCGATAAATTTTTAAAGTATTTTACCTGATGTCCTCCACCTTTCACTTCACTATAGATTGCCGTATCAACAAAATATGTTGGAGCTATTTGACAAATCAATAATAAAAGTGCTAATATTGGTTGTCCTTGCATTAACCATAAATCTAAACATCCAGGTAATACTGACCAATATGATTTAACACAAACGGCACAAATAGCAGCAATAACTGATGGTAAAAAGACAATATTTACACCAAATATTGTGTGTATTAAATATGTGTATATTCCATAGAATAAAGCTATTTTTAATGATGCAACAAATACCGATGTTATTGAATCATTAACTGCTTTTCCAAGTTTAAAATTATTAATACCATTGAATTGATTAATCCATTGATGTGGTCGATAATAATCATTTGAATGAGCTAAGAGATAAAATAACAATGTGGTATAAACAACAAATGAGAATAGAAAATTAAATAATGCAAATCCACCATGAAATAATAGTGAAATAATTGTAGATATAAAAGTTAAAAATAAATTCATATTTGACAATATTGAGTCAAATACAGATTTAAATAAACCTAAATTATCTTTAATTAAATAATAAATATCATTTAAATTATTTAAACTAAGATCAAAATTTTGTAAATTATTAAATAATAATTGCCAATTAAATCTTCTTACTAAACTTGTTGTTGTCATATTTTCTTGATCATCGAGTGATGTTATTAGTGCAGACTGATGAAATAATATATTTGTTGTAAGATTATTGGGTGATGAAATTACTGATGAAGATGACATTGCTATGTATGTATACAAACGATCCCATAATTCTAAAACATTTTCTTCAATTTTCTTATTTGGTAAACTATCTTCACCGAAATGTTGAACCTATAACGATACATAGACAGACTAAACACAAAATAGCATATGATTAAATTATAAAAATAAATAACTTATTATATCCTTTCCCAAACTACGATTTAAGCACGATTAATAGCCAATTAAAAAATTGTAACAAATAATAATAAAAACTCTGAAAAATTATATTTAACTCTATTTCATTACGATTTAAGTCTATTTTGAAAATAAATTTTTTAGTGATGAGGATAAATTATGAGTGAATAATACATTCACAGATTGTGATGAAATCCGTTTCCTATTTATTATACCTATCGCCGTATGTGTATTTTTTAATAAACGATCATGCCATGAAAAAATATGTAGAAAAATCGTGCAGCAAGCACAAGTAAGCAAGATGGATGTATATTATATATAAATTAAAATTATTTTATTTTTTTATTTACAAGCATATAAATTGCTGCTCCCTTGTTTGGTTGAAGTGGTATATGCCAGTTAGATTTTTGTACATTTGGTCGATTTTTTACTGCCTAGAAACATTGCGCGTACTTTATTGTACAAATAATTTGTAGTTATTATTGTTATTGTTATTTTTTATTTCATAATTTATACCTGATTAGCTAAAAATTGTCTTCCATAAAGATAAAAGTTATTAACAGCTGTATCAACTAATTCATTCATATGGTGTTTTTCTGGTAATAGATATTTAAATGTTGGCTGTAATACAACAGTTTCATTAACTAAATTGCCCGCTAAATTAATCATATGTAAACTTTCTTTATGAATCTAAAATGGAATAGGATTAAACATAATAATTTTATTTATAAATAAGTTTAGAGAGGGATGATATTGAAGTAGCAATAGTATCTAACTCGATTGAAATTAGAGAAAAAATATGAAAAGAGAATGTCTTGACAAAATTTTAAAGATAGACAGATACACAATTTATCTCTTGAATTTCTTCTTTTTCATCTTTCGACAATTATATTCTCTTCTTTCTTACTTGTATAACAAGAATAATTGTACCAAATAATACTGTTATTAATAATGTAAAAATAATAAATGCACTAATTATATAATCAAGTGAGGATTGCAAACCATGATTTAATTTTTTATCACCCTTAAGAAATAGACGAAATAATCCGTGTAATGGAGATGGAGCAAATATTTCTTGTCTAAAAAAAAAAAATAATTCAATTATAATAATTACAATTATAAATTGTACTATTTATTTTTTTTACCTTTTTTGTACAAATAATGTTATTTTATGGAATAGATTGTTTATTTGTTTCTGTGATTTAATAAATGCGTATGTTCTATAAAATGACCACTTAATAAGCTTAAACATGATAAAAAATAGAGGTATAGGTAATAAATAATAATAAAGTAAATATAATTTAACAGTAATGAATGTCCATAATAAAAATGTAAAATAATGATTTGTTACATTTTTAGATTTAGATTTTTTTGTCACAGGTTTATGTTTAGCGAAATAAACTTGACATTTTGAAACTAATTCAGCGACATGGTTAACGTTTGTTTGAATGAACGATGTTCTTGGAATATGATTTTTTACATGATTGATAGCTAGAAAATGAAAATTATTGAACAAATAAAGTCAAGAAAACAATATTATACTAACCATCTTCTTCGTTGTGCTCATTATCAGAACTTTCTGTGTCATCTGATCGTGTACCTTAAATTTAAATCGAAAGAACAAACATATAAGAAGTATATAGAGCGTAACAACAAAATCCAATCTATTACTAGATGAAGGATGTATTTGATCGGAGCATGCACCGAGCTCGAGTACTCGACACTCGACTACTCGATACACGAAGGTCCACATTTTGAAATCATTCTTTTTTTTTTGTATATAGCCTTCTTCTGTTCTGAACAATGACGGAAGACGCTTTTCAGCTCTCAGATTATGTTTAATTCAAAGAAATAATTTTTGTTGTTTATCGTGTGCCATAGTAGCATAAAGTCATGAAAATAGGTAAAAACTGACAGAAGTTGGGTGGAAAGATTGGTCGATTCGATTTTTTCCTTCTCCAGAAAGAATAACAAGACATGTACTGCCTCAATTTCTAAGATATGTCGACTTTACAGTCAGATACCGAGAATGCATAGAGGCATGAGATCAAATTTTGCCTTTGTTTCTGTGATAATGATCTTTTCAGCTCTTTTTTTTCTACAAGATGTACGATGAAAACGATTTTTAGAGCCGTTTCAAGTGTCCCATCTTCTAGGGCATATCACACTGTACATGTCAACGATTTTTTACCTTTCCCAAGTTGGTTTTACCAGAGTAATGAATTTTTGAATTTCAACTAGTAGTGACCTGTTAATTTTTTGAAAAAATTATAACGCCTTTAAAATATGTCTGGAACAGCTAAAAAATCTTGGACATATGCGGTTTGATATGCTCTAATTGGTGAATAACAAACATAAACTGTTACTAGACGCGTTTCTGACTGCTATTAGCAGAGATAGAGAGTGATACGAGAACAAGTGCCTTGGCTTAAGACTCCTTAAACTTTAATTTATACGGTTGAATGTTTTTTGTATAAAAAACGCTTCAACTACTTTTTGTATTTTATATATAAGTATATATATATATATATGCTTGTTTAGAATATTGTTCGTGGTGCCATAGAAAATAAAATTGTTGTTTGTTGCGACGTGTTTCATTTTATTTGAAAATAAAACTCATCAGGCAATATTTTATATCTCTTTACAATAATTTGTAATACAAGCCCGTGTAATATAAGCCCGAGATATTGAGACTTGAATATTTGACCCTCACCCTTACCTTCTGGTGAAATGTTCGAGTCTCAATATCTCAAAGCAGGAAAATTCATTAGCATCGAGTATTTTTTCGTCGTACTAGTATGACCATGGGCTCAAGTGTGGCAAGTTTGAAATCAAAATTCGACAGTCGGATGTTGCTCGAAATCCAAGCTCTATAGGCAAAAACTGACTAAAAATTCAGTATCTCAACAACAAAGCGCCATGAGGATGAACCAAGTTGGGGTATTTCACTACTCGTTAGGGCCTTTCTAACAAAAATAGTCCCAACCCGAAATCGATTTATAACCTCAGGTGGTTCCACGTAAGACTTACGGGAATAACGTAAAAGAACCTGATTTTTAATTTGGGTCGTCATTCTTTTATACCATTAAAAGTTATACGCAAATTTTTCCACTTTTTTTAAGCTTTTGATTTTAAAATCAACCCAAGTTCTCTAACTAGAGAAGAGAAATCCATCGGACGGTCGATGCCCCATTTTGACTCTTATCCAGGCGGCATCTAATGAATGACAGTAGGTAGAACCTTCAAGATTTCATCGAAGCTATTCCTTGATTCGGTAAACATTCCATGAAAATTTTGTCAGCATTCTATGTTTTATGTAGAAAATAGATTTCTAACGGAAGAAGGATCCTTCAACGATGATACATTCTAAATGTGCACTGACTTTTCATCTTTCATTACAATTAAGATCGGACAGTTAGTGATGTTTTTGTGACCATGTTCAAAGAAGAATGTTATTGAAGTAAAGTAGTATATTTACCATTATTTTTCTCATTATCATTGTTCTTGGTTCTTTCTAATTCAATATCAAACTTTTCATGTACATCAGCAATAAAACCAATTGCGATGAGTATAAATGCGAGAATAAGAAACGTTATTCTGTACGTCTGATGTATGTATTGAGAAATGTAAAGAAAAAATGTCAACCATAGTGGAATAGCTAACAGATTTAATATTCTTTTGATTATGTAGTTTTCTTCATTATATAGACAAACAACGGCAAATAAGTAACTACCAAATAGTATTATGATCCATTGTGATTCAAAATATTCTTGTATTAGACTCAGTTTAAATATTGTTCCAAATGAAAATGATTTTAGTGCAAAATAAATATCTGTTTTGACAATGTTCAGTATCGGTAGTAGAATAAATATTAATAATATTGGTTTCCATTTTTTTATAGCCAATGGTCCCAAATAATTTGTTAATGTCTCGAGTGTTTGACACGGTATAATAATTGTGACCCCGGTGATCAACAAATGTTGATTAACTTCAAATTGTTTTAAATACTGTCGTGTTATTTTTGTCAATGTCTTTTTGAGTGGAAATAAGAAAGCACCAGTTAATATTGCCCATAATATAGCTCTCAGAAATGCTTCCAAAATATAATAGGCTAATATTGCACAACCACAACATAAAATTATAAATAATATAGCCGCACTGTTGTAGAATGCTGTTTTAAATGCTTTTTCTCGTTGACTAAACAATGTTACACGATGTAACACGTGTTTCCATGCTGAACCTAATGGTCGTTGTTGACGTTGATAATTTGACTTTACTGTTGCTAATGAAATATAATTTTATATGTACAATGATGATTCTACTTGGTCATTTGAATCACCGCAGGGAAGGATGAAAGTAAAAGATGGATTAAAGACTTTTAGGCTTTAAAATGAAATTTTTTTTATTCTACTTTGCTATTTATTTGATCGTTTTCTGTAATCCTCTCAACAGTAAAGACTACAGCTCTATGATATATGTTTGAAAGTATTATCAAAGGGAGCAGATGCAAATGTGGCTTGAAAAATACGTACTTCAGAACTACACACCTTGTAACTCATCTTCATCTTCAATTGAACACACGGGCCATGTTTGTCTACGCTTGACTGATACCATTATTTTGTTAGAGAAATTAAATCACTCATATGTATACTTTATCTAAGGACATAACAATAGTGGTAGAAAATAACAAAACTTTTATTCTTGATAAGATCCTCATCAAACCTGTTCTAATTTATACTTAATTTTTCATAATTAAAGTTACTGGACATTAAGTGTTTTTTAGTATATGATGTCGATCAATGAACAATCATACAATTACAAGTTGAGACGAAAATAAAGTCTCAAAGACTATTAGTACCTCTACGAACAATTTTCTGATAGTATTAATCACAATCATTTAAATAACTTTTATCCTACTAACTTAAGCTCATAAACCAAATGTCGTTCGTTTGAGCGAAGAATTTTCAAGAAAAAATGCAGATGTCACACATTCTCCAATGAATAATATTGAACTTCTGTCCAGTTTAATTGAAAAATAAAATTCATGCACACAATGAGTGAAAACAAAAAGCGTTATCTACTTCTCAATTATAGTAATTATCGGGTGATCCACTAAAAATGGGTTACTTTTGATTTTCAAATTTTCTCACCTGTTTATCATAATTTGTTTACCATAATATGCGCCGCCGGAAAATTCTCTACAAAATGGTATATGAATCAAACCTCTGTATTTTAAGATCTAATTTCAGAAAATGCCATGCAAAGATTTGCAAAAAAAAATTCTACTTTCTTTCTAAATACAATCTTGGTGATCGTCTACGAAGAATATTTCCTGATTTAAACGGAGGATTAGGACTGTATACAATTTAACGTTTGTGTAAAATGATCCGCGAAACTAGTTCTATCAACTTATTCAAACCGCTTGACAAAATATGTATTGCGCAAACAAAGGCAACAATACAAAAGGTAAAACAACAATTAAATCAAAAGAAAAGAAAATTAGTCAGAGAATTGAACATACGTAAGAGAACGGTTCAGAATTACTACATCGAAATATCAGATTAAACCGAACACTTTTGTTGTTGTTTTTAGAACTACACACTAAAAATCGTTTCAAAAACCCGATTTTGACCTCAGTCGATAGAGAATTCATTGCTCTACAAAACTATCGACTTTGTTTCCCAAATAAATTTTTCTTGTTATAAAATTTCAGCGGAACCGTTATTAAAAATTTTTCATCATTTTTTCATTTTCCGACCGTTGCAGTTAGACGGTTGAGTAGATGTTAACCTTTTAACTTTTGCGTTGACAAGAAAGTTTTATTTGGAAAACAAAGTCGATAATTTTGTAGAGCAATGAATTCTCTATCGAATGAGTTCAAAATCGGGTTTTGAAACGGTTTTTAGTGTCTCAAAAACAGAAAACAAAAACTGCCATTTTAATTCGACTCACCCGTTACAGCGACATTTCGATGTAGAAATTCCATCAAAACATAATTCCATGAACCGTTGTTTTGCTTGTTTTCAATCCTCTGACTAATTTTATTTTCTTCTGATCAAATCGTTATTTTTCCTTTTGTATTGTGCCTTTGTTAGCACAATAAATATTTTGCCAGACAGTCTGAATAAGTTGATTCACGAATCATTGTACACCAATTGTATACAGTCCTAATCCTCCGTTTAAATGAGTGGTTCATATACTATTTTGTAAAGAATTTCCCGACGCATCTTATGGTAAATAAATTATGATAAATAGTTGAAACAATGCGGAGAAAAATTGAAAAACAAAGTGACCCATTTTCACTGTACCATCCGATAGAAATAAAGAAGAAAAAAAAAGAAGAAAAAAATAACACAACAATGAATATCAATATACTTTAAAGAATAAATCAAACAAACAATAGAAATTGTTTTCATTTTTTCTATATTCTCTTATTACACGTAATGAAAGACAACAACAAAAAAAGATGGAACATCTACAAAAACTGTTATTTAAGCCAAAAGAAATAAACATATCTTGCTTGTTGTATTTATTCTTTCGATTTTTTTGATTTTTTATCTTTCTTTTTATCACGATCGGTTGATGATTTTTTACTTCGATCATGATGATGATGTGAATGTTTCTTTTTAGATTTTGTTTTTACTTTTTTCTTTGATACTATATCATTATCAGTAGTGTCTTTTGGTTTTATAGGCTCTGCAGTTTTTAACTCATAACGTTTTGTATTGCCATTATGTGTTAATAAATGATCTATCAATTGATCGGTTGTTCGTTTATGTTGTACTCTAATATATCGTTGTTCTTTTTGACCATAAGATGTTGATTGAAGGTTCAATTTCATCGATTCTTTATGAATTGTTTTCCGTTCTTCGTTATTAAATTCGTTAATAAATAATAATTCTTGATCGTCATTATTTAGTTGAATAAATTCTTCTAATATACGACGTAAATTACGAATAAAATTATTATTTGGAAATAAACGATTTGAACCTAAACCTTTTCGACCGTGTAAATCTTCCACTTGAATTGGTTCAGCTATACCTATAATAAAGAAATATAATAAATTAGGACATATTTAGCGAGAAACATGCATATGTGTATAATATTGACAGCTTATTTGACAAATCGCGAAAACAATTTTGTTTTAAAGATGTAGACATTAGATTTGTATATCTAACCAATTTTTATATAACTTTTGATGATAAACTTTTACCATCGGCTGCTGATCGTACAAAACGAACTTCAAATTCTTAAACCTTTGCGAAGGCTTGATAAAAACAAATTTTCTTATCAGCTACCGCTAGCTTATATTGTCAGCTTACTCTAGAAAAAAATTCAGTTCTTGATTTTCCCCGTCGTTTCTTTTTTTATAGAAATTATTATCATATTTGGTAATGTCCTAGTGAAGTCAAGCATAAAGGGATAACGTATGTAAATCAAATGAAGATGTGATATCAGATGGTTAATCTATGAAATTTGAAGTTTCTCACCTTGACCTTGTTTTCCAATACCTCCACCATCCCAGCCCATTTTTTTCATCAATTTTGTGGCAACATCTTCTTTTGCACACGTAGTATTACTACTCCAAAACGATCCATCGTAATGTTCAAATAAATGTACACGTGTAACGCGTTTAACATTAACGGATGTTAAAGATGGTGGTAGAATAAGTGGTCCTTCAGCACTTTCTTGTGTAATAGATGCTTGTTCAATCGATTTCATTTTAATACTTGGATACAATGATTTTAATAATTCGCATACTTTCATTGCTGCTAATTGTTTTGAGCCAGTTTTTGTATTTGCAACAAGTGACATAAAAAATTGATCATTAATATAAAGTGTACATAAAAATCCTTTTGGTATAAGTAAAAATTCATGTTTCAATTCCAAACGATTTTTTGACATTGATGTAAATAGTACCGAAACATAGGAACCAGGTAAATCTGGACGGAAATCTAATGGTTCAAATACGACAAATGTATTTGGTATAAGTCGTTGAATATTTAATAATATTTCATCATCTGGTGTTGTCACACATTTTGATAAATCAGGAGTGGTTATGTCTTCTGTAGGTGGATCGGGAATAATAGTTTGTTGTTGAAGACGTTCATGAAAATATCGAATAGCGGATGTTGCTGATAATGTTACTGGAACGGGTAACGGTGGACGATCAAATCGACGACGAATCGGAGGTGGCGGAGGACATTTGAGTAATCCTTCGTCAATATCTTGATGACAAGCTAACATCCATTGTACATTGTTTTTTAACTCTAATGAAAATGATTTTGCTTGTGAAATTGATTTCAGAGCATTTGCATAAGTTTCTTTTTTGGCCAATTTTTTACTGGTACCATATCCTTCCGAAATGCAAATTTGTTCGATAATCAGATGACCATGAAAACCTTGAGCTGATGATGCATGATCAGCACACTCGAACTCAGCTTGTAAGTGATATTTGTTAATTTCAGTTGAAATTAGATCAATTGCATGTGAAGGATCAGCTAATGAATTTAACAAACTGAAGACAAATGGTTGTAATTTACACAATTTTGCACGCTGTTGTAAGATGGATGCCGAATCGACAGGTGATAATGATACAGGCTGTTCCATTTCTTCATCCGATTCTTTTATAACTAACTCTTGTTGACTATCGTCCAACTTTATGTAGTCGTCAGCTTTTCCAGTATCATTGACAGCTGGAACGACACCGGAATGGATATTCTAAACAAGAACAAATAGTTAACTATAGGTTTTTTTTGAAGAATTTTCATTTCTTTCGTTTGAATTGGACTTGGAATCCAGTAATAGACCTTTTCTCAAAAATATTCTTTCTTGTACCATAGTCCTATGGTTTCTGAATAAATGAAAAACATTTTCAGACCAATATTACTGCGATAAAGACTAATTGATTTCACTAGAGATACTTAATTTTTCATTAGCTTCCATCTGTGACAAATAATTGGAACTTCTTATATACAACGGAGAATTGAATTATTTGAAAAAGTGTCTGAAGCAGTAATAGTTAAAGCCGAATATGCTAACTATGAATCTATGTTTCATGTGTCCCACTTGTTGTATTTTCATGAGAACTACGTGCATTTATTTTGTTAGTTAAGGCAATACTTAATGAAATTATTTTGCTTTTGATATATGAACAGCTATAACTGACCAAAAGTCTTATGTGATAAATATCTCTCAGTTTCGGTAAACTAGGCCAAGTAGGCATGCACCAGTAAGATCTCAAAATTTTACTTAAAAAGAAGCTTGAAAATCTCAGAAATCAATCTCTCGCAGAGCAAATCAAGGAATTTTTTGTTGCCCTGCTTTGTCCCTGCCCTGTTGCGGGGCAACAAAAATATATCGCCCTGCCTGGCAGGACAGGGCAGGGCAACGGGACAGCCCTGTTCTGCGACGGTCTCTGATTTACATACATTTTAAACAATGTATGCAAATGGTACAAGACTAACTCACTCTAAAATATTTGCCTAACAGTTATGAACAGTTACAGTTTATAGGTTTACAGTTAACCTTTTAAAGCCCAAGGTTCATTCAAATGAATATTGGCGTTATCATTATAAAAAACTGAGGAAGCATTGTTTGAAAAACTAATCTTATATCAGTTGTGGAGAATTAAACTGGCTATCGAATGATAAAAGAAATATTTTGTTTGAGTATTATGCTAGCCGAGATATTTAAATTTTAAAATGAAGAATATATAGAAAAAATTTAATTTTTTTAATTTAACTTTTTAGGTACTTCAGGAAAAGCGTTTTATTCAATAACTTTTCAAAAATATGTAGGCAGATGTGTTCTTTCAAATTCTGTGAACTGAAGAAATTACTGTTTAAACTGTAGACTGCTGATGGTACAAAACGAAAGGTCATATGTTGCTGGGATTTCCGACTCGTTTTCTTGGCCATTCTTAATTTTCTTCACCATCTGAGCTCATTTCCTGCCTCAACTTCCTCAAACTTAATGGTCTAAGATTATATGTGTTTGAGCTTTGGTTTCTAATGAGAAAAAATACTTTTTTTCGAATTTTTTATTTTAAATTTAAATTATAAAATCTTAACCTTTTTTAAAAATGAAAAATAATTTTTTTCCGAGCATCAGAAAGTCATATCAAAGTCTCATATGTTCCATTTTTGCAAGTGGTTAACCCAAAACCAAGCATTAAAGCCTTGAGGGCTTAAAGGGTTACTGTAACTGTTGCATGCCTAGGATCAATAATTATCTATTTTAGAGAGATATTACGGCATAAAACACTTTGTCGATGTAGTATTGTAAGCTAAAAGCTTTCGACGTAAAAGAGTGTGTAAGTTATGTTATTAAGTATTCAGAATCCTCATCAGAATATTAATTGAGTGTATCAGTATTAATCAGAGATAGCGATGAGTTCAACAGTTCAACTGATGGAACTATCATAAAATGCACGAAACTCTTATGAGAACATCATGGAACTGCTAGACTCTTAGAGAGCATACTCACGTCGATGTAAGTAATGATCGACCTTTATCCAGATCAGTATTTAGGATAATTCCACATCTAAAAATAAGTACAACGATGATATAGTTTCAATTGTTTATCTATGAACAAAATTCAAAGAGATAATATCTCAGCGTAGAATTGATCAATCAATAAACTAAAAACTATATCTATCATTTGTTGTACGTACATTTAGATATAGACTATCCTTTCAAACCTATATGGACCATCCCATTCAGCTAAATTGAGCAACAGGCAGACATGATTGACCATAAACTGAAAATTAAATATGAACAGTTTGCATAAGTTAAATCAAATGTGTGGCTATTTTGTACAATAATGACTCAACACAGTCATAGATGCTGAACAAAATGTCCACACACAAGTGTTCATTGACATGTTCAATGACTTGAATAATAAGAAATCAATAGATTTTCTGAGTAATTCTTAAATTCTGTATTAATGTTGAAAATCGTGTTTTTGCATTTCTAAAGTCTCCATACGATAGGCTAGTTTTTCCAACATCCCTTACTTTATCAGTCGTTTGTTTCAATTTCTTCAATTTTGGAAACGGATAAATAAGTTCATTTCCTGCATATTCGGCTTGTTGGTGTGGAACAGGCGGTGGTGGTGACATTGATCGAAGTTGATTCCATCTGGACGGTTTTCTTGGTGGTGGCGGTGGAACAGGTGGTGGTAATTGTTGTTCGGGATCATCATAATCATAAAAGACGGATGGTTGTTGATGGTGACTTTTTCGATAATATTGATTTTGTTCTAATTTAAATTGTTGACGAGCTGTTCGCTCAGCTATTGTTGATTTGTCTCTTGCCTCGACAAAATTTACCATATTTGAATTTGACATTGGATGTGTAGTTGGAATCGAAAATGTCTCATCGACATCCTTTAAAACTAATTCATATTGTCGCTTATCTGTTAGTTGTGTGGTTGCTGCTGTTGTTATTGTTGTTGCTGTTGTTGTTGATTCAAATAATGATTTGACTCCATATTCATGTTTTACAAGATATTCATAAGCTTTAAGAAAACATTTCTGTTTACATGATTTTTTGTTTGGGCCTTGACCAGCACAAATAAAAACATCATCGATATATAGTTTACCATGAAATGTTTGGGTAAAAAATGTACGTGAGGCAGAATTGTTATATGAATGAGATGAGTCGTCTGGACGATAGTCAATATAAATACGATGTTTGTTACAGATTTTGTAAAAATGATCGATTGTTACATCATTTTCATCTGTACCCTGATGTTGATCATTTTTGAGTTCCTCTGTTATGATATTTAATTTTCTCGATTTCATTTCACTCGTATCATATAATAACGTCGATTTCGGTACTGATGTCATTGATAAGACATTATTATCCGTTCCTGGTTTAGATTGTAATGTGGAGGGATGATCAATAAAGGATAATTGCATCAATGCCGGAGGTTGAGGTGTGGAACAAAATGATACAAAGTTACTGGTGGATGAGAACGGTTTAAATGACGATGATTTTTGTTCTATTGGAGTAACTTGTTTCGTTAATGGTACTGTTAGCTGACTAGAAATAATAGAGAAAAGTAGCTGTATCTACAATAAAAACACTAAAAGGCAACAATTATTTGCCCATTCCACGTAACTTGGTCAGAAGCGTGATTCCGATACTATTTTCCCTGTTTTCATACAGACGAACGCCAGATGCATTTTGTAATGAAATGTTTTTAAGAGTAGTATCGAATATCCTCGCAATAACTCCAGAACCAAGAGTCTATGAGAATTCTGACACATGTCATGTTGTTGAGCACATTTTTCATTACAAAATAAGATAATAGTGAGCACCTGATGTTCTTCCATTCAAAAGATACAGAGATAAGAATATAGCGAAAAAAAGTATCAGAATCACATTTTCCATCAAGTTACGTAGAATGCCTGTGTTCTAAATTACAAGATTGACTTTTGAACTAATTATTAACTTCTCTGGGCTAGTTAAAAAATCTAATATTTTTGTCCGCTCATATTCTCGTTATGACTATGTGATGAGCAAAGAAACAATATATAAAGTAATTTACCCAGGCACTGCTATCATTTCATCTTCTCTTCTCGTTTTTTTAGCATTATGTTCGTCTTCTTCATCGCTTGGTTTTGTTCGCTTATGACCACCGTTTGTGTTTAACAGTGTTGTATCAGTATTAACACTTATACTAGACGTGGACGGATCATTATTTGTTAAAATTAATTTTTTCTCCAACTGTTCTAATAATGTTTTCAACGGTTCAGAGTATTTACATCCTAAACATTTCGTATTCGCATAACATTGAGCTAAACATAATAAACGTTCTTCATTATATTCATTCCAATAAGTTTCAATGAATAATTTACGATACATCCATTGTTGATCACTTTCACTAGACGAACGAAAACGTTCAATATCTTTTAATTCTTTTCCAGAGAAGAGTTCTGAAGACAATTGATTGGTTTGCATTAATTACATTAGTTCTATCTAGTCTTTGCAATATCTAAAACAAAACAAGTAACAAAGTGAATTAGTTATCGTTTATCTTTCCTATGAACGATATGGTGTAAATTAATGATGAATGACTTAGTTTACTTCAATATGTAACCGCTAGTGCGTTATATACTTTTTACTTTTGAGTCCTAGATTATCTAGAAAAATAAATTATGGATACTTTATAGATTTATCCTTTGCTCTCGAGACCTCCATGATGGCTTCAAACTTGACGAATGATTGATCGATGATAAGTCTCATTGAATGCTGATCATCTAACAAGGTTGAGCCTCTTTGACTGATCTAAAGATTTCATATTTTTTCACAAAAAAAATGCTAACTCTAATACGAACATTATCATTCTTCAAACACATCTAAGACGGATGAATACTTTATCGTTCTATCAAATATAGCCATTAATCTCTTTTATTTTTGGTACGGTTTAGTTTCGATTGTCAATATTCACTGGAACTGCATAATTTTTTTACAGTAGTGAGGCACGTCTGAAAACTGACGTTCTTTTTCTCGAAAAAAACCATAATCAAAAGATTTTGATGATTTTGATTTTCATCAAATACTTTGCAATATCTCGAGATTATTCACCGAAATTGTCATCTCTTATACCTTCAATGTCTATATTGACTATTCTAAAGTATAATCATAGCAACAGACAGCGACAGAAAAAGCATCTGAAAATTTATCAGAAGTTTTTCATGTATTTTATCAACTGCTTCGTAGCAAAAAAAATTATAACTCTCAGTGAAAATGACTGTGAAACTTCGAGCTTTTTGGGAAGAACTTTCCTTCTGTTTGCGAATATGCTTTTATATTTTATCCTTTTATTATATTTTAAAGTTATAAAAACCGCAGCATAACGGCATCAGTACAAATAGACACACTTCTTTGTTTATACAACGAAAGAAAAACATGAGTTTCATAACCACAGCTCGTTACATGGCAACTTTACACAGAAAAATAACACTATAAATAACCGTCAGAAACCATCAACAGCATATTTATCTTGTTTCTATTTAAAAGCCTTTTCAAACTGCCGCTTCAAAGTTAATAACAAGCTTTTGATTATA